AGAAGAAACAATATAAAAGTTATTTTTCTAATTATTTTTCAATTATTCTTATTATTTTTTCTATACGGACAAGATTATATCTATTATACAAGAGGAAGAAAATACATACAGACATATTTTATATATATAATTATATATATTTATATTTTTATATAAACATTTTTTTACCGGAGTTTACATAAAACACAAATGGAAGATATTTAGAAAGTACAATATTTTGCAATATTTTTCTCAATCATAATTAATATCCGAATGATGACTATACCAAATGTGAAAAAATTTTTTCCAATTAATTTTTAAATCATTACTTTATATAAATTAATTTTATTTTATAATACTAAAAAGAGAATAATTTGGAACACCAGGTAGAATTCATTTCTCTTTTCTTTTCCGTCTTCCATATATGTGGTATAGATAGGTACCTACTATTGTGTACAAATTATAAATCCTTCTTTCAAAAATTTTTAGATTTTTCTCATGTAATTATTAATTTAATAAATAAACATATAAATTTTTAATAAATAAACTTTAACAAGATACATTTTCGTCGGAGTAGCAATATATCCAATTAGGTTACGCATAGAGATGTACGATTTTACAATATATTGTTAGTATCGCGATTTTTTATTGAATCTTAATGCGATTATGCAGCTGGATTTTTAATCAAAATCATATGCAATTTAAAATCGCGCTTGTGATCAAAAATCGCAAATGCGGCTCGAAATCGCACTTATAATGAAATATTCCTTCATTAAATATATAAGAATACTAAAACGAAAATTATCTTACAATAATTTTAAACATTAGACATGGTTTAATTAATCTATTCGAAATTTGTTTCTTTTTATTTATTTGTGAAAATTTTTTAGAATATGGTATTTAATAGTGTAGAACCAACAATGAGAAAAACTTAAAATTACATATAGACATTTTTTCATATTGTGAGTAAACATTTGTATATGTTTATATAATTAATTTAATATTTACTTTCTATAATTTAATTTAATAATTTCAAGTATCATTTTAATTATTATAATTATTTAATATTTAGTATAGTAAAATAAGTAAAACATCACAATTCAAAATTATATTATTTGTAATAAAAATTGTGATGCGATTCACGATAGGTATCGAGTCGCAATTGTGATGTAAAGTTTTGTAAATCGCACATCTCTGTAATTAGCATATAAAAAATATACGCATCTTTCTAAAGATCCGTCCTGAATATAGGGCAAAATAGTTTCATGCTATTTCGATCAATATTCTTTTCTCGCGGTCTACGAAAATTATTTCGGCAAGCACCGGACACGATAGATGTCCCATTTGCTCCCGGTAGAGGATCCTATTTTCGGATTCCCCCCCGCGGGTTATCGTGAACTTCTCGCATGTTCTGGCCGTCGCCGTTGATCACCCGATGCACTGCACCGGCATTGTATTCGATTTTTCATTCCGTATCCGTCCGCTGTATCGATACTTCCGAGTGTCATCGACGACAGCAACGGTGACGGTGACGACGCCGTGTACCTCATCATGCCTCGTCGGCGTCGGCGATGCCGGATCGCCACACGCGCGCGCGACTGCTGCGATACGGAAGAGTCGTCGCAGCGGTGTCACCGCAAACGCATCACCGTTACTAATATCAGTCTTCCGTTTTTTCTTTACGCAGCCTGCCAAAATGGTTTGGATTACCATCGATGATCAGGTACCGTCGTTGTATGATCGTGCTCGATCTTTTTACTTTTGCTACGATTTGTACAAGTTTAGATTAACTCTTAATTAAGATTATAATTTCGGTGAATTTGGATAGTTTCTAATTAAAAGTGGAAGGCTATCTGAACGTGAAAGGATCTCGATAATTAATTTATGATATTGGAAACATTTTTTTTTGTATTTGCAGCACGGAAGTATTTATTTCACCGAAATTATAATGGTTTTGATGTGTATTTTATTCTTTTTCCACTGCTTGGATTTTTTTGTTTACGCATGCACACGTGTTTAAACGAATGAGTTAATATATTCTCATCGTATTTTAATAATTCTTTGCTCCAAATACGATGCATATAAAAAATATATATGTTCTTATAAATCTTAATAAAAAATTTTTTGTATAAAAAAATTATATATAAGTAATGTATAAAATATGTCTATATTGTATGTTTTCTTTTTCTTGTATAATTTCTGTCCCTATGTAGAAAAAATAATAAGAATAATTGAAAATTAATTAGAATAATAACTTTTGTATTGTTTTTCTTACAAAAATAAAATTGTGATTGAATTATACAATATTCTATATGTAATTATATTGTATATACAATTATTACATTTATATATGGTTATATATGGATAATTTTTTCTCATTTCTTTAAACTTTACTTTTTTGTAAAAGAATACGAAAATTGTCCTCTTAATAAATTTTTAATTCTCATTATTTTTCCTATACATACAGAGACTATATGAGAAGAAGCAAGTATACATATATGAACATATATACACGGAGAAAATTTTATGTTAAATTTTACTATGCTGCCGCATCAACTGCGGACCATCAAGACGCCCAAGTTTAAATGCTATAGTCTTGTGTAAAATTACTATGTCCATAGCATTTAGCGATACGATCATATTATAGTATTATTATAGCATTGAATGCTATGATCGTAGCATTAAATGCTATGGACATAGTAATTTTACACAAGACTATAGCATTTAAACTTGGGCATCTTGATGGTCCGCAGTTGGTGCGGCAGCATAGTAAAATTTAACATAAAAATTTCTCCGTGTATGAACATATACTTATAATTACATATATTACACATATATATATTTATATATGTTTTTGAATAAAAAAATTTTACTGAAATACTATTGTATGTTACAACATACATCGTATTTAACATTTAGACTTAGATTTTTGATAATAAAGATAGAAAATGCGTGTAGGTAGATATAATAATTTCATGTAATGTGTAAATTGATTGTATGGATGTGTGTAAATTAATCGATGAATTAATCGCTAAGTTAATTTTGCTTTTGCTTATACGATACGTGCGAATGTGTAGCGTTCGAAATGGAATTGTGGATCTAATTTCCGTACGTTATTTTATGCAGTACACTTCGAACCTTATGCAATTTGCACAGAATAAGAACTAACGATTAGTCTTCCTTTTTTTCTCTCTGTAGCATTGCCAGTCTTTCAGTTATAAAATAAAAACTGTTGATTGAAAAAGATGTTTAAAATATCTTTCTTCATATAGGTAGAAGGTATACCTAATTTTATAGGATTAGTCGATAATCATCATTACTGTTTTTGTCGTCAATTATCAATATTTATAAATTCATATACTTAAAAAAAAAATTATTTATGATACTTAATAAATCACAGTTTTGCATGAAAAGTAGACGTAACAGAGTGTTTTTATTTTTAAATGACATTTTGTAATAGCATGGAAAACTACATTGTATAATATAGGTAGATATATAATAGGTATTATAATGGTATAATAGTGTAAAGTGGATGGTATACTGTTACAGTTTACACACTTTGTTATTCTATTTTATTGTGAATGAAATAATTATACGATATCAGATTTTATGTTATTTTTGTAATGTTGTCTTAATAGTTATAATTAATTTTGTAACTATTTGCGATCATAGTGCTATGGTAATATCGATATTAATGATATATATTAGAATTAGATGACAGAAATATATTGTTTTCATAGCATCTAAAGTTTGCTGTAGGTACATTATATTACGAGCTGGAGTTCCGCATTGCAATTCACAATTAATATCATTTATAGTATGAGACTATTTGAGCATTATATACATCTGCGCAGCGTGCTAAAAGCGATTCTAGAAGCAGTGCAGTAAACGGCGTAGAATTGTGTCACCTTGCTAAGCGTTTGCTCAGTGTGGAAGTGAAGCGATAAATGAATGCATGCGTATACACACACACACACACACATAGAGTGGTCCAACAAAAATTTTCCACCCTATTTTTTTGTAACCGACTAATTTGTGCGAAATATATCGATAATGTATCTTTTGTATGGAGTTATAGAGATCTTATATGCAATCCGATTAGTGCATGTTGGTAGAAATTTTATTTTATCAGGTAGCAAAAAGAAAAAGATTTAACAGAAAAAAATCAAATAATCTTGTAAGCTATTCTATCGGATCTTTTTTAAAAGATAGTCGATAAATACTATATAAACGCCGGAAATGTTTCAAAATGTACGCAACAACTACATTATTATTGTATGGAGACTGGTGGAGGCATAAAAGTAAATTTTTCTGTAAAGTTTGAACTTTCAATTTTTAATATTTAGAACCTAGACTTCCAAACGCAATTTTTAATTTTTTAATACCTTGACTTCCAAACACTCGCTCAAATTAAAAATAAAATACAGTTGTAAAGAGAATTAAAAGACTTTTAAATAATTTAAACGATGTGTCACTTGGCTTCTGTCACGATTTATGATTTTCGAAGAAGTTACTAATTAAAGGATGAAACAGCATGGTTGTATCTATTCTAATTATATAATGCCCTTAAAAACATAATTGACATGTCTATATATTTCGCACGAATCAGTCGGCGAGAAAAGACATGGAGTGGAAAGTTTTTGTTGACTGTATATAGCATGATATCATATATATATCGTGATAAATTTATTAGCCTTATATTTGTTTTTTTTTGTTTTTTTTTCTTAATATATCGACACTTGATACATACATCAGAAAAATTTATAAGTTGGATATTTTGTAATTGAAACTGTTTTATAAATTTGGGAAAAAAATTTTCATATGTAATTATATGTATGTGAAACTTGTCCAAACATGTTTAAATCTTTTTCTTATTATTTTACTAAATAAACTATGTAAAATACTTAGTATGTAATATGATTCCACAGCTATTCTTCCATGACGTCATCTTTCTGACGGATTGAATTTATCTGTCTTTTATCTGTATGATACTGATATGAATCTTATTCTCCGCTTGTTAGCTTTTTCGAGATTAAAATAATATTGTCGCAAAAATTATAATGCAGTCAAAACGTCTGTCTAGCATTGCAGACGAACGAAAATATTTATTATTATGTCAGTGACATAGATCAGAATTAAATATGAAATTATACTTTAAATACCAAATATAATTTTTTGGATTTGAAATTTTCCTAATTAGTTGAAGTTTGTAAGAAATAAAAAAATGTAATAATAAAAGAATCTCAAATGAATTAAAATGTTTATCGATTTTTGGTAAATTAGGTATTTTTTGAGGATTTAACACCTCTAACATGAAATGTAAAGTATAAACGTATTCACGTTATCATGAAATGGTGAATGTTATTTCTTTCGCGATCTGTTATCTTCCGTCGCGATCAATTATTTTCCGTCTATAAAAGGCGTCTATTTTTGCCACTCTATATTTGCAGCCAGAAGCTACGGTGCTTTGGAATGTAAGAAGCACGTCTGTGCCGCAATTATTTTTGCTGTACATTATATGTTCTATTTGTGATAACCTATCTACGAGATGAGAAGGTCACAACTATATTAATTAATTCATCAATGTAGTGATCGAAAGCGTTCTAAAGAAGTAATATGGATCGCCGACTCACATGCATTCCTTGGTTTTATTTTGTTGGCAATAAGCTTTTTTTTATGCATGTTAAATTTATTAATCACATTTTTCTATTGATGTTATTTATCATTTTGATTATTAATGTATTAACGTAATTAGTTTATAAATCTCTTATGAACTACGATGCGCTGTGATTGCTGTGAATAACGCATACTCAAAATCAAGTCCAAGTCATGTTAAATTTTCTATAATATTTTTTTACATCCAGCCGACAATTAACAATCTCCTAGTTTTATCTTTAGTCCGAATTTCTCCTGATCTCATTGAATTTTTTACAGATGGCTGGCAAGCAGAACACCCAGGCGTTATACGCCCAAAGTCAATTGGATCACATGTGTGCTTTGGATATCGACAGTCGAGTATCCTTCGTCCGTTTATCTGGTATTATTTGTACAATCGGACCCGCATCCAGATCTGTGGAGACCTTGGAGAAGATGATAGAGACAGGGATGAATATTGCCCGATTGAACTTCTCTCACGGATCTCACGAATATCATGCTGAGACCATCGCCAATGTTCGCCAGGCGCAAAAAAATTTGACTGCTCGCGCTGGTATTAACATTCCTGTTGCTATCGCTCTCGACACGAAGGGCCCTGAAATCCGTACCGGTCTTCTAGAAGGCGTACGTGGTTAATATATCCTAGAGTCCCTCTAATCAGAGTCTGGCCAACTTGACAAAATTCTGCGAGAGAAGGATATATATTCATAACGCTTTTTCTTTCTCTATTATATCTTTTTCACTTTCTGTTTCTCTTGCATTTGCCAAGAAATGGCGAACCAATCAAAAGTTGCTACCATACTCTGCCAGACTCTGATTATAGAGGGACTCTAATGGCCAGTCTACAATGAGTCGTTAGTCGTTAATCAGATGTCGGAAGAAATATTCATAAGCGTATCGTAAGGCAATCACAAGTCTGTAATCGGTGATCGTAAGAGGTAGCATTTGGCCAATCGCTTATGATCGCCGATTACAGACTTCCGATCGCCTTACGATACGTTTTAGCTTTTTCCGACTCTCTTCCGACATCTGACTAACGACTAACGACTCATTGTAGACTGGCCATAATACAGCCAAAATACAAAACTTTAGTGTGATGGATAATATTTAAAAATCTTACCGTTTGAATAGGGTGGTTCGGCTGAAGTTGAATTGGTTAAAGGCCAAACTTTTAAACTGTCCACGGACAAGGCATATATGGAGAAAGGGAATGCTCAGGTTATTTATGTTGACTACGAAAATATCTCCAAGGTATTAAAGGCAGGGAATCGTGTATTTGTGGATGATGGCTTGATTTCTCTCATTGTTACTGCTGTCAGTAAGTATCATTCATATGTATTGTTCTCCTTCTCTCCCTCCTTCTCTTTGTGCGTATATGCTTGCATGCATACGTGTGTAAAATAAATTACTATTAAAATTATTTTTTGTTTTTAAATATGATATTATAAAAATTGCAGTTACTTTGAAAATATAAAATTCAAATGTTGCATATTTTTCAATGTATGAAATAGTATTGATAATTTTAGTTTAAAGCTACAATTTTGATCTATTATTATATGTATCTCGATAATGAGAAATATCAATATAACGATGAAAAATATTATAAAGAATGTTATCTAATTTATCTTATTTTTTAGGTCCCAATTTAATCTCAACAACCGTTGAAAATGGTGGTACGTTAGGCTCTCGCAAAGGTGTAAATTTGCCGGGAGTGCCGGTGGATCTTCCAGCAGTATCAGAAAAAGACAAATCTGATCTACAGTTTGGTATTGAACAAGACGTCGACATGATATTTGCCTCTTTCATTAGAAATGCTGCTGCATTAACTGAGATCCGTGACATTCTTGGTGAAAAGGGTAAAAACATCAAAATTATATCGAAGATCGAGAACCAACAAGGTATGACGAATCTCGACGAGATTATCGATGCATCTGATGGCATCATGGTAGCGCGTGGTGACTTGGGAATAGAAATACCACCGCAGAAGGTATTTCTGGCACAGAAGTGTATGATTAGCAGATGCAACAAAGTTGGCAAGCCAGTAATTTGCGCCACGCAAATGTTGGAGTCTATGGTGAAAAAACCACGTGCTACGAGAGCCGAAACTTCAGACGTTGCTAATGCTATTCTCGATGGTGCTGATTGCGTTATGTTGTCAGGTAATTTATTTTTATATATTGATATTAGAAAAATTAAGGATAGAGCAAAATGATAAAATAATAGGTAGAATATGAGAAATAAAAAATAAAAGCATATACATATATAAACATGTAAAAAATAAAAGAAAAAGAGAAGAAAGACACATAATACGATAATAAGCTGGAAATACATGTGACTAAAAATGAAGACCATAAGCTTTATATTAAGGGGACTATCTGGTTTGGAGCGCTAAAAAATAACGATTTATATATATTTTTTGTGGAAAAAAATAATGCTATATCAATTTGTACACATATTTTATTTATACGTTATAGAATATCCATTTTTATCTATGAATTTTGATATACAAAAAGAAACATAAAATTTTCGAGATATCTACATGATAAATGCATATGCTAAACTTATTAAAATTATAAAAAGTTGCGAATTGATAAAAATATGTCATTATGAAAAAAAGTTTATTTTTGTACCATTATTTTTCTCATTAAATTGTCAAAGAAAAATATTTTTCAAAAATTTATTCTTTTGTTAGGTAAAATAGTTATAATTTCAATATATCAAAAGCCCAAATCATTGCATTGAGCCGTTTTCTCTCTATACTATCCAGCAATTTGACAAGATCAATGTAGACACGTCTATTGCCCGTGTAGATAATTTTATGTTATTTTTGTATATTATAATTCATGATATTCTAGAAAGATATTTTATAAAGTATAAATAAAATACGTAGAAACATGATAGCGCTACCGGTTAAAAAAAAGTATAAAAATTATTTTTTAGCGCTCCACACCAAGTGGTCCTCTTAAGTGTATATTAAGTGCATATTAAATGTAAATAGTGTAAATATTGTAGAAATGCATTCTAATATGATTAGTTGAAACTGAACAGTTATAAATTAATGTTTAAGTATATGTGGATTAAGTATTGGCATATTTACTACGTTTACACGGCCCGATTTACGCCGAAGTTATAACATTGATGTTATAACTACTGACGTTAAATGCCGTGTAAACGCTCTTTTACGACGAACTTACTACATCGATGTAATAACTTTGTCGTAAAAGGGCGTTTACATGGTATTTAACGTCAGTAGTTATAATATCGATGTTATAACTTTAGCGTAAATCGGGCCGTGTAAACGTAGTCATTGTTTATTATCGAGTGATAATATAAATTTCGTCTGGTTGCAATTTTAGGTGAAACGGCAAAAGGAGACTATCCTTTAGAATGTGTGCACACAATGGCCAACATTTGTAAGGAAGCGGAAGCTGCGATCTGGCAGAACCAAATCTTCCATGATCTTAGGAGCAAAGCTCTGCCGCCTATTGATGCTACGCATGCTATTGCCATTGCCTCTGTAGAAGCATCTGTTAAATGTTTGGCTAGTGCTATCATTGTTATTACAACATCTGGTAGATCCGCACATTTAATTGCGAAATATAGGCCTCGATCTCCCATTATTGCGGTTACCAGATTTCATCAAGTTGCTCGACAAGCGCATTTGTATCGCGGAATATTACCATTGTACTATGAAGGTATGATATCAATAATTATTTAATGTTTATTTTACAGTGTTATATGGAAAAAATCTGAAACTTATATATTATGACATGTGTTGACTTATAAATAAGAGTATATAGAGGGGTAAAAACCATAGTAGTGTAAGTCAAATTTCTTAAAATATTGACTCGTGTACATAGATGCAATTTATATATTGTATAGATTGCATCTATGCACACGAGTTAATATCTTAAAAAATTTGACTTACACCACTATGGCTTTTACCCCTCCATATAAACTCAGAATTATGTTGAACTTGTAATATGCATTCTTTCTAACAAACATTAACAAGATTTGCTTTATTAAGGTGGTTCGATGTCTACAACAAAATCCAGAGAATTTCATGAAATTTTAATATGTTGTTCTGCAATGCAAAATAGAATTATGTGAATTTTTTGGGAATTTTTCACCGTCCCGTTTTGAAAAAAATCTACTCCAAAAACCTAAAAAGTACAATTTTAGGAGTAGATTTATTTCAAAACGGGACGGTGAAAAATTCCCAAAAAATTCACATAATTCTATTTTGCATTCCAGAACAACATATTAAAATTGCATGAAACTGGCTGCATTTTTAACATAGGTTCTTATGGTTTTTATGGGAAATGACATATTGCATATACCTTCAGAATGAAATAAGTGCAAGAAAAAATGCAAATGATAAAGAAAAAGAAATTTGCACATGTAACTTAATAATTTACAAATAAATAAAGCATAAATTGCTTGATTTTTCGTCTGCATAGACTGTCATGGTTGTGAACGACGTGAACAGCAGCACGCATGATACACGCGGCGACCAATCAGAGCAATCCCCTTCATTCCGACTACTTCAAACGCTAGTGCGCTGTTTCTAGAACCCCCGCGTCCCACTACTCCCTCCGATAAAGCCATCGAACCTCCTTGAAGAAAAAAAAAAAAAAAGAAAAAAAAGTGGGTGTGTATGCGTGTTATATTTAACACTATAATCTTTATTACACAGGAGCACCATTGGCCGATTGGGTGAAGGATGTGGACGTGCGTGTACAATACGGATTAAATTTCGGCAAAAGTCGTGGTTTTATCAAAACTGGTGATTCCGTTGTAGTTGTGACAGGATGGCGGCAGGGCTCGGGCTTCACGAATACACTTCGTATCGTGTATGTAGAACGTGAATTTATTAGAGAAGACCCTGCATGCACAGTTTATAGTGACACTGATTCCTATGATGATCTCTTTTGAATGTTGCATGATACTCTGATGATATCTCATGTATTTCAACATCTCTTAATTTGCTTTAACAATAATTATACAGAATATTCATTAAATATTATCATCAAGTTGTACACTTACGATAATTAAAATAAATGACCTGAAGTCCATTAATGTAATTACATGCAATATGTTTTCATGTTATGACAGAAATATACTTTATATATAAGTAATAGAGATAGACATATATTGTGATTAATACTTGTAGTATATTTTATTTAAATATATGTCATTTTCATAAGAACCGAGGTGATTCTAATATTATTTGTGTTTCAGCATATATTGTCTTCTTAAGATATAATTTGTGAAATTAATTCAAGTATAGTTATTCGCTTACTGTGCTATCAATATTGTAGTCATATTTTTGGCAAAACCATCTGATTATTTATGTTAATTAATGTTTTCTATTTTCAGGTCTGTTGATTAAACTTGCATTGTACTGGAAAGTTATAAGAAGCATAGTCTTCGTGGATGTAGATGTAATGTAAGAAATTACAGAGTAATATTTAAACATGTATGTAACTATATGATTGCCCATTAAATACAGTCAAATGTCAAATGATACACTAATAGTAAACCTAGTATTATTTTATCGTTGAAATATATAAATACGATGCATAGAGACACAAAAAGTAGGAATACAAGCATATATGCAAGCGCGCGCGTGTATGCATGCACGCACGAACGTGTGCATGCACATAGGTGCTATTTTAATTGCATATCTCAAAAACTTCAAAAACAAGATATTCTTGAAAAAATAATAAAAATTCTTAAAATATGAAATAAAAATTTTATGGTTTGGAGAAGGAAAAAGATAAACTTAAATTTCTCAAAAGCAGCATTTTTCAAAGTCATTTTAAGATTGATCATGTTTTCATAAATAGAAATGCATAATTTTTATTCAAGCATTTGCTAAAACATGGAATTTTACGTTAAAATTGTATCAATTATTATATACAATAACGATATTTATTTGTAATATCAAGACGCGCATTGTCTGATTAAGTAAACAGTAATATTTGTTAAATGTCTCGTAAACTATGAATTTAGATTATACATGTCTTACATAATTTTTACATAAAAATTGATAAATGTCAAGATCAAGAGCGATCTCATCGACGTTCAATGACTTTGACATGTATTGTCAAGAACTCGGTTCTGACTAACTTGCAAAAAGTTTTAGCCGTCGCTCGTTGTTTATTACAAAGTTATTAACAAATATAAATGAGAAATATAACAGTTTGTGTCAATGCTAAAGAAAGTAATTTGTTGATATGTGTACTTACTGTCTAGACACGCACATATTAGTAAATTAATTCCCTTAGTACTGACACAAACTATTATACTTCTTAAACTTTTTTGTTTGCAATTTTTTAATAAACAACGGCTAAAATTTGTTGCAAGTTAGTCAGCCATGTACTTGACAATATATGTTAAGGTCATTGAAATTGCCCTTAACTTTGTCATTTTTACTGTAAAATTTTAAGCTCTATCGAACGCGTAAATAAAAATTATACATTTGCATTAAAAAAATCGATCTTAAGACTTAAAAACCGGCCACTTTTGAGAAGTTTAAAATCATATTTTTTCTTCCTTTGAATTTTCTCCATCAAACTTTTTTTTAATCAATATTAAAAGAATGTCTTATTTTTCGGATTTTAGAATTTCAAATGGGACACACTAACACAACCTCCCCCCCGCCACACCCATACACACAGTTATATAAACAATTCAATGATCAACTCGTATGTGTATAATGAATAGATAAATAATTCTAGGATTATTAACAGAAAATAAATTCTCGAATATTGAATCTTCATGTTTCTGTATAGAAATAAAGATCTTTATTTTGCATTACTGTATGTTTATAATTACCACTTCATAATTTATAATATAAATTTGTAATGTTATAAATTTAGTTTTTAGGAACGTATTTTTATTCAGCATATGGATAAAATTCTTAAAATTTTAAGTACTATAGAATTCTAAATAACGTACAGAAAACGTAAATCATTGATATTGATGCTTTCCCATTTGAAATTGATTTCTTCCGGTCATACGCATCGCTGATATCCGTTCATTGTGTTTGTCAAGTTCACGGTCAAGACCGTGGTCAAGTTCGTCTCTCACACAACATGGTTTCGGCAAAGCTGCATATAGTATATTTGTGTCAAAAATAAAATATTACTAATATAATTACATATAATTTTTCAAAGGGCACCTGATTTTTTTTTGCATCAATGGTCACGTGGGATAATTTTTACAGCCTAATTAAAAGTTATTGTTATTAATTGCATATTGGATATTTTTGATTGTTCTATA